AAGAGCAACACTTAGATTTTTTAATTTGAGGTATCTAGTTTAGGATAGGCTTTTTGTGATAAGCAAAGTTTAAAATGGTTCTCCGCCCTACCCCACTTCAAGGTGTCCTGCCCTAATCTTTGAGACTGTGAGTATAATGAGATATCGTGCCTACTATTATGAATGTACTTAATATTGCTAATCAGTTGACTTTGAATTAGTCAAAAGAGAGTTAATCAGGCCCAGGCAGGCCTAATCAATTACTTGTGCCCCTTAAATGCAGAGAATTTGCTCCGATGGGCAGCAAAAGAGGAAGTCAGAGAGATTCCAAGTAAAAGATAGATTCAACATGGCCCTGCTATCTTAGAAGGTGGAGGGGTCATGTGGCAAGACATGCAGGTGGCCTCCGGAATCCGAGAGTGGCCTCAGCCAATAGCAAGCAAGGAAGCTTCTATTTCCATCTTACAACTGCAAGGAACTGAATCCTGCCAATAACCAAAAGGAGCTTAGATGTGAATTCTTCCCAGATCTTCTAGGTAAGAGCCCCTCCTGGCCAACAATTTGATTTTGGCCTTGTAAGACCCCAAGGAGAGAATTTGGTTAAGCTTGCCGCAATGACCTACAGAGCTATGAGCTAATAAATGGGTGCTATTTTAAGCTACTAAGATTGTGGTTATTTTTACAAGCAATAGAAAATTCATACACTATCGTCTACATTTATGTTTCTACATTGCATTTATTCCTGTTTTGACTCCTTTGCTTTTACCACTGAAAGCTGTATTCTGTCTTCCTTATAGTTGTGACTAGGAGTTCTTTTTCTACTGACTTCATCTCCCAATGATAGATGATACATCTGATATTTAATATGGATGAGACATAGTCATGCATTCTTTCATTCTATAAACAGTCATTAAGTGCCTATTATGTGCACTAATGCACATATCTGGGAGTAGAATAATGAAACAAACATTGTCTTTGTTCTCATGGAGCTTGCATTCTGGCAGATAAAACAAGTAATTATCAAATAAACTATAACATCAGCCACTGTGAAGTGTAAGAAAGGATGATTGGTGAGGTCAGTGGCCAGCTACTGTTGGCTACGGCAAGGAATTTAGATTTAATGGGGAAGCTGTTGTAGGGCTTTGAGTAGAGGAGTAACCAGATTAGAATTTTATTGTAAAAGGATCACTCTGACTGCTTTATAGATAATACATCCAACTGGGAGGTGGTGGGTGGGAAAGGAACGTGGAAGAGGTGAGGGGAGGTGAGAGGGCTAGGTAAAGGCAGAAGTCTGAAGGAGACATACTGGTGGCCAGTACTAGATGGGAGTGGTAAAGGTCATGGGAAGTGATTACATTTGGATTATATGTGAAGGCAGAAGAATATTAAACTGAAAACTAATCTTCAGCTCTTGAATATAAGTGGCTGAGGTGGCTTTTGAGTGATCAGCTCAACTCCTTTACTCCCCATTGATTGAGTACTCACCTTGCATACCAGATGGCATTCAGAATCCAATTTTAGTTGGCACATTTCATATATGATTTCACTTACTCCTTAAAATAGTCATATGAAGTGGATAAATTTAATCCTATTAATATTGTTCCACATCATAGATATTCAGGGTTGTTTATAAACAGATAAAATTGTGTGTTTGCATGTGTGTTTACCAGCAGTTTGATGTTGAATCCTTTCTACAAGTTCTATTCTACTTGAAAACTAACCACGCTCTCTTTCTTTTAAAACTTTTTTCTTTTGCATATGGTTCTTGATCTGGATGTCAGAGGCCAGAACCTGTCAAGAGCAGGTAATTATAGCTAAGTCCAGGGATCCTGGAATGGAATTTTTATTTTTGACATTTTCTTCTACATTTAGAACATATGGCCTGGAGCAAAGACTGTGCTTGCTCTGATCCCAGTTTCCATAAACATTGTTGTCTTTTCTAAGTGTCCCACTAGAGCAAGGAAGAACATCCAGAGAGATTATTCTATATGATGCTGAGTCAGAGCACAGTCTCTGTAGTGTCACTAGTTGAAAGCAGAATGCTATTTTAGGTTTCCACCTCCAACACTTGATTTTGAAAGCTCTCTAACACATGCAAGTAATGGAGTACCTGATTGTCTAAAATGGTCTAAAACAATTAACTATTAATTCTTCACGATTCCTTTAAAATCGAGTTGTTTAAAATGAAAACTAAAGCCAAATATATAACATCAATTCTCCTGGCATAGTTTTAGGAAGTGAAAAGGATAATTTCTGTTTCTTTCTTTTTTTTTTTTTTTTTTTTTTTTTTTAAGCCTAGGGCACCTGGTATTCCCCTGCAGTCTCCCATCCAAGTACTAACCAGACCCAACCCTGCTTAGCTTTCAAGATCAGGCATGTTGAGTGTGGTATGGCTGTAGACAATTTCTGTTTCTTAAATGATTATTTTAAATACCTACTATGCATCAGTCTCTGCGTCAGAAACTTAGGCCACCAAGATAAGTAAAACATAACCCAGTGCCTTCTCTCATGGAGCTTTAACTCTAGTAGAACAAAACATCATTAATCAAGTACTAATACAAATAAGTCCATAGTTGCAAACTGAGAAATATTATGAAAGAAAAAGCAACACAAATCTTACTTCCATATTAAGTATAAAAAAGACCTTGCTGCATGTGTATTTATTTATGTCCTGAGAAAATTTAGAGAAAAAATGAAATGAATTATGAAAAATATGCATACTCATAAACTTTCAGGGAGCTATTAATTAGGAAAAATTTTAAAATAAACAAAATATTATTATTTTTTCATTAACAAAGCACAGCATTAGCATTTGACCTTTTACAAATTCCACATAGTATTGCCACCCTACTGAGCTAGCATGGCACACAGCCTGCATCTCTTTATATAACTTCTGTATTTTTGTCTTTATTCATTCATTTATTGTTCTATCAAGAAAACCTCTGTTATCTTTTCCATAAAATTCCTAGCTGTTGCATAAATCTCAAAATTGTATGACAACAATAAAAATAACACTTGTCATTACATTCCTATTATGTGCCAGGCATTATATATGTGTATGCATATTCTCATTTAATTTTTTGGCAACCTTGAAATGTAGGTACAGTTGACTCTTTGTATCTGTGGGTTCCACATCCATAGATTAAACTAACTAGGTATCAAAAATACTTAGAAAAAAATTGCTATTGTACTTACCATTATCATTGTCATTATCCCCTAAAAATACAATAATAACAACTATCTACATAGCATTATATTAGGTATTATAAGAATTCTAGAGATTATTTAAACTCTATGGGGAGGATGTACACAGGTTTCATGCAAATATGATGCCATTTTATAAAAGGGACTTGAGCATGCTTGGATTTTGATATTTGAAGGAGGTCCTGAGACAAAACCCCCACAGATTATGAGGGATAACTATGTTAGCCTTATTTCATATGAGGAAGCAAGGCCCAGAGAAATTAGTACGTTACTCAAGGCAATGCAGATACTTGTTATTTTAAATTCAAATCAGGCTGATCAGGTTCTAGGTCATGCATCTTTTCATTACACAATTATGGTAAAGATAATGACATATGTACAACAATAGTTACATTTCAAGGTGATGTGTGATGACTGCTATGTTCTGAAATTAGGATTATAGATTAGAAAGAGTGGCATTTTTAGCTGAAGTGGCTAAGTAGAGGATACCATTTCCTGTATTTACCAGTTCCCAGATCTGCCACACTTTTTCTTTTTGAGGTCTCTGCCTAGTACATCATCATAACCCTCTCCTTTATCCATACACATTGAGGGTCCTTACAAATGGAGGAGAAAAGACTATTGCTGTCTTTAAAAGTGTTCTCCATGAAAAGTTTTATTAGGAGTATAGGAAACAGATTTGTAGTCTAATGTACTTACTTCACTTCTCATTCCTGTTTTCATAAGAGATACTCAATTTATGATTCAAGGCTGTCTCAGTGTATCAAATAGGTATGTAATATCATTTTCTTGCTTTTAGCAGTAATGGCATATTTAATGTCTCCACTCTGAATTTCTTTGTTGATTTAGAAGGCTCATGAAGGCCCATCTGGTAGCATCTTGTGAGCCAGTGCCAGCTGGTGAGGCAAATGGCAATGTGAGCTCGAACTGCATCTCCCCAGCCTTGTATCCAATTTGGATCACTTTTTGGTATGTGCCACGCAAATTTGCACTCAAAAGTGGTCTGCATTTTAGGCACATAAGTTTAACAACTATGATTAGGGTGGAGAAAAAAAGATGATAAATTATATGAATACACTATAATTTTGCAGAGCTTTTTTAAAAACTCCTATGTTAAGAAATGTTTAAACCAGAGTTGGTGAACTTAAAGCCACTGTTAATTTCCCCAACATCCTCATAATTGCTCCTACGTTTCTTACCCTTTCTCAGAGTCCTGTGGTTTCCTAAATAATGCATATGGGTTACAAGACATAACATGAGTATTGGATGTTTTAATCAGAGGGCTTGAATCAGAACCTGTTACCCAGAGTCGACCTTGGGCAAGTCACTTGTGTTCTGAGAGTATCATTTCTCTCACTGGAAAAATGGTAGCTAAGTTGACCTTTGCTATTCATTTCTTAGCGTTTTAAAAAGAAAACATATTCATATACCCAAAGAGTGTTTTATGGCAAACAAGAGCTTTCTCTTCCCAGAAGACAGTCTCCTTAGATTAGCAAAGAGGCTTCAAGGATTTGCAAACTGGCAGAGCTGCTGAAACACTATAGGGTTGAATTCTGACATTGATTCTATAAGAGTGGTGAGTGAGATAACTACCTTGACCTTATATGCTTACATTTATTTAAATCTTATAGTTGTGAATCCCACTTAAGGACATTAATAATACTGGTTGAATTTTATACTTTTAAAGAAAATAATACGATTGTCTTAGACTATTCCGGTCGCTTTAACAAAATACCACCCAGTTCAAAATACCAGATGGCTTATAAACAAGAAATTTATTACTTACAATTCTGGAGAATGGGAAATCCAAAATCAAGGCACCAGCAGATTCAAGATCCAGGCACCGGCAGATCTAATGTCCAGTGAGGGCCTGCTTCCTCATTCACAGATGGCCTGTCTTCTTACTTCGTCTTCACCTGGCGGAAAGAGTGAGGGATCTCTTCGATCTCTTTTATAAGGGCATTAATTCCATTCAGAGTATTGCTGTCTTTAGAAGTGTTCTCCACTAAAGAGTTTTATTAGGAGTGTAGGAGACAGATTTGTAGTCTACTGGACTTACTTTCACTTATTATTTCAGTTTTTATAACAGATGCTAAATTTATGATTCAAAGCTGCCTGATCACCTCCCAAAGGCCCCACATCCTAATACCATCACACAATGGGTTGAGTTCAACATATGAATTTTGGGAGGACACATTCAGTCCATTGCATTATGATGGCCATATAAAATATTTCCGGTTTTCTTTCTGGAAACATGGTAAGATTGCACCTCTTCCCCCATTCCTCTTTGGATAAAGGAATGTGAGTAGGAGTGACTTACATCACTATTAGTGAAAGTTTTAAGAAGCTGTGTCTATTTGCCACTTCTCTCTTCCACAGTTAGGCAAATTTGGAATGATGGCTATTTATCAGCCTGTGAATATAGAGGCCTAAATTAAAGCTTCCAGCCAACTCATGATATGCATGTAGAAGGAATGAGAAATAAACTCCCATGTAATAAGCATTTAGATGTTGGCTCTCTTTAAAAATATATTTATTATGCTAAGAACACCTAACCTGAGGTCTATCCTCTTAACAAATTTTTAATTGTACAATATAGTATTGTTAGCTGTAGGCACAATGTTGTATAGCAGATCTCTAGAATGTATTCATCTTGTATAAATGAGATTCTGTGCCCACTGATTAGCAACTGTTTCTCTCTCCCCATAAGTCCCTGGCAAGCCACATTCTCGTCTGTGATTCTACGTTTGACTAGTTTAGGTATTTCCTGTAAGTGAACTTATGCAGTATTTGTCCTCCTGTGACTAGCTTATTTTGCTCAGTATAATGTCTTCAAGGTTCATCAATGTTGTTGCATTTTGCAGAATTTTCTTTTTTAAGGCTAAATAATAATCATTATATGTATATATCTCATTTTCTTTATTCATTCATTTTTTCATGAACATTTAGGTTGTTTCTACTTCTTGGCTAATGTGAATAGTACTGAAACGAACATGGGAGTAATGTATCTTTGAGATCCTGAATTTAATCCTTTCGAATAAATATCCTGCAGTGGGATGGCTAGATCATATACCAATTCTATATTTAATTATACATATATAATTAGCATATATATAGGCTAATACAGTTATGAGGCCAAGAAGTCCTAGCTATGGGTAAACAGGAAAGATGGTGTTATAATACAGTCTGAGAAGAAAGACCTGAGAATTGGGAGGCCAATGGTATAAATCCCAATATGAGTACTAAAGCCCCTGAACCAGAAGAATATATGTCAGGCAGAAGAAGATGTTTATCCCAGCTCAAGCACAGAAAAGAAATTTGCCTTTCCTCCACCTTTTTGTTCTATCCTCAACGGATTGGACGATGCCCACCCACATTGGTGAGGGCAATCTTCCTTGCTCAGTCTACTGATTCACATTCTAATCTCTTCTTAAGGCACTTTCACACATACATACTTAGAAATAATGTTTTACCAGTTATCTGGGTATCTTTTGGCATAGTCAGGTTGACATGAAATATTAACCATTTACATGCCATTCTGGTTTTTGATACCAACTGCTCCATTTAATATCCCAAAAACAGTGTACAGGGGTTCTCATTTCCCCATATCTTCACCAACAATTGAACAAATGTCCCTTTTTTTAATAATGCCCATCCTGAGAGGTGTGGGGTAATATCTCACTATGATTAGTAACATTGAGCATCTTTTCTTTTAAGTTTTGGTCCCTTGCATGTCCTCTTTAAAGAAATGTGTATTCAAGTCTTTAGTTCATTTTAAAATCAAGTTGTTAGTTTTCTTGCTAATGAGTTAAGTTTCTTGTATATTTTGGAAATTAACCCCTTATCAGACATCTGGCTTGCAAATATTTTCTCCCACTCCATAAATTGCCTTTTCATTTTGTTGATTATTTTACTCTGTGAAGGAGTTTTTGGTTTAATACAGTCCTGTTTGTCTACATTTGCATTTTTTTCCTTTTCATTTCATATCCATAAAAGCATTGGCAAGACCAATGTCATGAAGTTTTTTATATTTTCTTCTATAAGTTTTATAGTTTTAGGCATTATGCTTAAATCACTAATCCATTTTGGGTTTATTTTTGTGTGTGTGCATGTTATAAGATAAAGACCCAGTGTCTTACTTTTTACATGTGGGTGTTCAATTTTCCTACCACCATTTGTTGAAGAGATTATCTTTCCCATTGTGTGTTCTTGACACCTTTGCTGAAGATCAGCTAACCCTATATGCATGATATATAATTTGGCTGTATCTCCACCTAAATGTCGTCTTGAATTGTAGCTCCCATCATTCCCACATGTCATGGTAGGGACCTATGGGAAGTAATTGAATCATGGGGGTGGGTCTTTCCTGTGCTGTTCTTGTGAAAGTAAATAAGTCTCATGTGATCTGATGGATTTATAAAGGGGAGTTCCCCTGAACAAACTCTTGCCTGTTGCCGTGTAAGATGTATCTTGCTTCCCCTTCACCTTCTGCCATGATTGTGAGGCCTCCCCAGCCATGTGAAAATATGAGTCAATTAAACTTCTTTCTTTTACAAATTACCCAGTCTTGGTATGTCTTTATTAGCAGCATGAGAACAGACTAATACACATGAGCTTATTTTTGAGTTCTTTATTATGTTCCATTAGTCTATGTCTTTTTTATGCATGTGTTATAATTTTTCTACTGTATATTTGTAACATATTTTAAAAACAGAAAGTGTTATATGCCTCCAGCTTTGTGGTTCTATGTGAATTGTAGGATTGTATTTTCTGTTAATATTAAAAAATAGGCACTGAGATTTTGATAGGGATTACATTGAATCTATAGATTACCATAGGAAATATGGATATTTTAATAATATTCATTCTTCCAATCCATGCAAGCAAGGTGTCTTTCCATTTATCTGTGTCTTCTTTAATTGTCTCCATCAGTGTTTTATAGTTTTCTCTGTGAAAGTGTCACTTTTTTGGTTAAGCTTATTTGTAACTATTTGATTCCTTTTGTTGCTAGTAATAAGTGGGATTGAATTCTTATTTTATGGATAGTTGTTTGTGTACAGAAATGACACTGATTTTGTGTTGATTTTGTATCCTGCAACACACAAAATTTATTTAATCTAATATTTTTTGGTTGAGTTGTTAGGGTTTTCTCTGTATATATTATTCTGTCATCTTCAAACAGAGATAATTTTACTTCTTCCCTTCCAACTTGGATGATTTTATTTCTTTTTTTGCCTAATTGTTTTGGCTAGGACTTCTGGTCCTATGTTAAATAGAAGTGGCAAAAGTGGGCATCCTTGCCTTTTTACTGACCTTAAAGGTGCAGTGTTCAAGTTTTCACTATTGAGCAGAATGTTAGCTGAGGGCTTTTCATAGGTAGACTTCAATATGTTGAGGTTCTTTCCTTCTGTTCCTAGTTTGTTGAGAATTTTTATCATAAAAATGTGTAGACTTTTATCAAATTCTTTTTTATGTGTTTTGAGATGATCATATGGCTTTTTTCCTCTTTCATTCTTTTAATGTGATGTATCACAGTTGTTGATTTGCATATGTTGAATCATCCTTGCATCTTGGGGATAAATCCCCCTTGGTCAATGGTGAAAGATTCTTTTAATGTGCTGTTGAATTTGGTTTGCTAATATTTTGTTGATGATTTTTGCATCTATATTCATTAGAGACATTGACATGCAGTTTTCGTTTTTTGTGGTGCCTTTGTCTAGCTTTTTTATCAGGGTAATTCTGGCCTCATAAAATAAGTTTGGAAGTGTTTCCTTCTCATCAATTTTTTGGAAGAGTTTGAGAAAGATTGGTATTAACTTTTCAAGTGTTGCACACAATTCATCAGTGAGGTGTCTGGTCCTGAGGTTTTCCTCATTGGGAGATTTCTTGTTCCTGATTCAATATCTATACTAGTTATAGGCCTGTTCATACTTTTTATATCTTCATGATTCAGTCTTGGTAGGATGTATGTTTATAAGAATTTGTGTGTTTCTTCTAGGTTTCCCAGGTTTCTGGTATATAATAGTTAATGTAATCTCTTATAATCCTTTGCATTTTTGTGGTATCAGCTGCAATATCTCCTCTTTCTTTTCTGATTTTATGTGAGTTGTCTCTTTTTTCTTAGTTATTCTAGCTTAATATTTTCAATTTTATCTTCTCAAAAAACCAACTCTTAGTTTCATTGTTTTTTCTACTGTTTTTCTGGTCTTCATTTCATTTATTCTGCTATGACCTTTATTATTTCCTTGTTTCTGCTGACTTTGGATTTAGTTTCCTCCTATTTTTCAATTTCCTTGAGATATAAAATGGGGTTGTTTGAGATCTTTCTTCTTTTTTAATATAGGCATTTATCACTGTAAATGTCCTTCTTAGTACTTCTTTTGCTGCATTCAGAAAGTTTGTTATGTTCTATTAATATTTTATTTTTTTCAAGATACATTCTATCTGTTTGGATTTTTTGACTCATTGGTTGTTCAAACATGTATATTTATTTTCCACATGGTTGCACCTTTTCTGGTTTTCCTGTTGTTATTGATTTCTAGTTTATTACATTTTAGTTGAAAAGGTACTTGGTATTTTTTCAATATTATTAACTTTGTTAAAACTTTGTTGTTACTTTATATGATCTATCTTGAAAAACATTCTGTATGCGCTTGAGAAGAATGAATATTATTTTGCTGTTGAGTGGAATGTTTTGTAAAGATGTATTAGTACCATTTGCTCTGTGGGGTTGCATGCATCTACTGCTTCTTTGTTAGTTTACTATCTGGTTGCTTTTCTATCAATTATTGAAAGTAGAGTGCTAAAATCTCCTACTGTTATTGAAGCATTATCTATCTTTCCCTTTGGTATTATCAATGCTTGTTTCATGTATTTAAGTGCTCTCCTGTTGGATGCATATATATTTATAATTGTT